AAGCAAGATTGATAGCAAGAAGATGACATACAGCTTATTGTATATTTACACACATAACACACTGGCCTGGTGATTTATCTGAGCATTAGAGTAGAATAGACTGAAAACACAATATGATCAAGGCTTAAACACTTTATCACTTTATTAACTCTTCAATATCAACCCGCAATAGTATTGTGTGAATTATGAATCAGTATCTTTTACAAGTGAGTTTAACCTTGCATTTTGTTTTTTTCATTTGTAATCTCCACTGATTCTCTGTTACGTGGTTAAGACATCAGATAACGGATGGAGACTATTATCATGCAGATATTATTAGAATTTGAGCATAGATTGTTATCGCCTCCATGAACTCGGGAGACATTGTGAGAGAGCTGTGATGGAATATCTAATTTGTGCAACCCCACGCCATTAGTTTGAGTTAACACCGAGGGAATGAGAGCGAGTGAATGAGATAGGTCAGGAGTAATGCCGACAGAGTATTACAAAATCATTGGTTTATCCAACGATGGAGCAAGAAATACAGCTATATGAACCTCGGTTTCTAAGTGGCCCTTTGGTTGATCAGAAGACACACAATCCATAGGGCCAAAACCAAACTAGATTTTTGTTTTAAAAGCTGCAAGTGTATCTTTCATGTGTTTAATGCAGCATCCAGGGACGCCCATGCATGTGCATTTATTTGATGAGCTGGTTTGTTGTGTGACTCCCTTATCTGCCAGCTCAACAATAGCCTTCATTTCCTCAGACATTTTTTTTCACCTTCCAAACAACAAGAAACTGAATGAAAGGATTAATTTTAGCGAATACACTTACAACCGATTCAGACTGAAAGGCAAAAATTGAATTGTTGGAATAAATCAAATAGAAACTCTAAAAGAGTGTGTGAGGGAAGGATATTTCACCATTAGTGCACTTTAAGCATTGCTGAACTGTGTTATTCAGTTAGATTTTAGAAGCAGTCCATTGATCAAGAAGACACACGCTTGGCACTCTCAGACACTCAAATACAGGAAGAAGCTATTAGGAACAGTAGCTTTACATTTGTTTTGTTTTCTTCAAAGTGAGCCTGCAGTTCTGACATGTCCAACACTTGGATGCTCGTTTCTTGATGTCATGTTCTGCATTGTGTACATCCGTCCTGGGAATTATAATGGAAGATACAATGACAGTGAGGTAAACCGCAGCACCCTCCTCAGATATAGCCTTGACAGAAGCATTTAACTTGCTTATTTCCGGGAATTGTTGATTTATTAGATTCTACTTGCATCTTGCTTCCCTCTGGCTGTTTTTTTAGATGTAGTTTATTCATTTAATTTGCACTGAATGAAGGAGATTCCTGGTCCCAAGACACCACTGGGGGGATTATCTCTTCACTCTCTTCCAGTTGCTTTTTTTTATTTCTGCTTGTGGCAAACTAGGCAACATTGCTAATGCACACACAGAAACCCTGAGCCTTTCTTCATCTCTCACAATTTCCAACACTTCCTCTTCACTTCCATAACACCTGCTTTCCTTCCTTCTGTCGTCTGTGCAGAACTGGCAATGGGGGTGTTCCCTCAAAGCTGCAAATACAGTCAAGGAAATCGTGTAATCGTCTCTGCATATTTACGTATATCTAGGTGCGGGATTCTGTGTTTGTCTATCCCTATTTATTATCTGCCTGTTCTAGGGATTTCCATGCTGTAGGACCCAGACATTTCCCAGAAGTGTCACTATGTGCGCAAACCTATGCGTGCATGCTTTTAAGTTTTTCACTCTGTCACTTTTTCCGTGATTAGGGCCGTCTCCGTCCCAGACTAAGGTTTAGTCGGACCCCCATGTGGGATATTCCCATTCGAGGCTGATTTGCCTGCATCTCCCTGTTCTTGAAAGTCTGTGCTGCGTTTAAAAGGCTGTCTGAATGTGTGTATGCATGTGTATGTGCGCTTGCATGTGTGCAGAATTGCCTCTGCATGTCTGGGTTGTGCTCTCGGCAGAGTCTGGCCAGCACTGAGTCTGCTTCCGTGATGAGAGAGGCATCTGCAATCAGGGCCGTAACGCGATTACTGAGGTACGATGGCCCTGGGCCCTGGAAGGGGGTGAGGCACATGTGGATGGATGGAAGGCTAAAGAGGAAAGATGGAGGGGGGGACAAACCCATCATGCATCATGCATTGCAAGTGGGGGATGATTTAAATCGAGAATCTCATCTTAGACACCTGTGAAGAGTCCTGTCATTTTCACACATGTGTTGTCTCCCACTGGCCTGCTTGTGCTTTTTAGTTTTTCCTATTATTACGCTTTCCTTCTGTCCCCTGTGCTTTCTGTTGCCTTCCAATTTCCCTGCCCTCTGCCCTGTGATGTCAGGGTTTCTTTAATTAACAAAATATCAGAAGATTTTCTGTGGCATTGGTTATTTTCCCCCGTAGGCTTGTTCTTTGTGTCCAAGTATATTTAGCTTCCCTGTTCCCTGACCTTCCCCCCTGTTTCTCTCCTGTTAGACTTGACAGTTTGTGTTTGGACTCCCTCCCTCACACACACACACACACACACACACACACACACACACACACACACACACACACACACACACACACACAAATACACACATTCACAAATACACACATTCACAAAGACAATCCCTACCTATTTTCTCTCTTGCCAAACCCTCCTCCCTCATCCCCTCCCTCTCTGGCCATGCAGGGGCAGTGGCACTCACTCACTCCCATTGACAGATTACTTTACTAATGGAATTTAAATATTTATCCCTTCCTCATGGCGATTTAGCCAGGAAAAGACCGACAGCAGGAGCACGAGGGAGGACAGGACAGGAGGGGAAGGGAAGAGGAAGGGAGAGCCGCTCATTTCCTCCAGTGGCATGAAGCTGCATCACCTCTGTTTTGATTTGGGGAGATGTCATTCAGAGAGAGGAGGAAGGGGAGTGGAGGATGGTTGGAAGGAGGAAAAACAGGGAGGTAGACACAGAAAAAGAAACAGACAGGACTGAATGAAGATGAATGATGGCTGGTTTGCAGATGAAAAGCAATGTTCTGATCTGAAAGTCATAATGAATATACATGAAGTTCGGTGACCTACTCTCCAACAAGTAAACAAACAGGAACGTATTTCTGTATATTTTGTTACATTGACTTACATTCATTTCCTGGAAACTTAGCCTCACTTTATCCAGAGAACAAGTCGCAACGCATAAATGCAGTAGTTTACCTTCGGGCAAACAGCCTTTTGTCCCCAAGTGGGAGGTGAGTCCCCGTAATGTGACAGTGCTACTAGATTTGTGTCCCCAGAAAATGTGACTAAACACTCACACATAAACCTTTGCAAGTGTCAGACAACCTGTCTGTGCTTTCCTCTCTGTGTACCTCTTCAGTCGCTGTCACACACACCTCTCCGTCTTATTCCCTGTATCTCCTCTTCCTTTCTTCTTGCCTCGTCTCTCACAGCGCTTCTCTCTTTTTGACTCTTCCTCCTGCTCTCTCCTTCCCTCTCTCTCTCGCTGGGGATCCTAATTAAGCTTGGCTGCTCTTTGATGTTGTCGCCTTGGCAACAGTCACCATGACGAGGCTGGGACTGCAGACTCTCCCTCAAACTCACTCAGGCATACACAAGTACACACAAATACAGTACACACAAACACACACTAATGCACGCTCGCTAAAATCATGAAATAATACAGGCAGTGTTTGACCCTTGGTTCAAACGATAGCTTACACAATGACTCAGGCGTGTGCGTAGGCTACATATGTGTGTAAACATGTTGGCCACATGCGTGCACACGCATGTTACAACAGCTGAACAAGGGAAACACTTACAGCCCGCTGAGCCAGATATAGATAACAATGAAATATGCAATGTTTGAATTCAACGGTGGTGAAGGAAGTAGCTGAGCTTCGGTCTTCGTGGCAGCAGCCGGCTGTCATGGTCTGAGGTCTGACCTGTCATTGTTGTTTTATTGTTTTCCTAAATAAATGTTTGTGTGTGCTTAAAGCCCTTGAGATGAATCATGTGGTAAAGAGCAATTGTTAGCACCGGCTGTTTCTCTGGGCAGTATAACACCGGATAAACAGATTTACAGCAGGGGAGTTCCTCATCTCTCTCGCTGTGCCACAGCCTTTCTTTTTCAGGAGAGATTTCACACATCTCGCTCTCTTCTGTCCACTGCAAGCGTGAAGACCTTTTTGCTCATCATTTATTCCTCAGTGTTGTAAAAGTGCACATAATTGCTATTTAGCAAGTCAAATGTAATAAAGGTGACCGATTTCAATCAATGCCTCAAACAGTTTACAATTTGCAGTTTTTCTGAAGAAACCCATTGAACAGAAAAGATGAACACCTTCTTAGTGCTAGAAACAGATGGAAATAGGTTTCCTGTAATCTAAAATCGACTAGCAAATGTCTCTCCGAATTTTCTTCAGTTCCTCTGCACTTCATCCATCTATTTCCCCCTCTCATCAGCCACACCATCCCATCCACCCACCCACCCCCAGCAGCTCCTGTCACCGCCGTCTGGAGGAGGGCCCTCTAATGAAACCTTGCCACTTCCTTATAACAACAGCTTTGGCGACAATATCAAGAGTAACCACAGCAATTATGACCCCGAAACACCAACATACAGAGAAGGAAAACTGCAATTCAATTCATGTTTTAAGTGGTCCTGCTCGTGACACTGGCATAGAAACAAACAACTTTTTTTTTAATGAGAAAATATATTGTGTAGCCTTTTTCTGAGAAAAAGCTGCTTCAGATGACTTTGGTTTATTTTAGGAAGAATCTTAGGTTATATGCAAATGAGCCAAAGCACTGAATAGATTACTGATTGCATGGATGGTGTTTTACATCTCAGGAAAAGAAACATTTACTCTAATTTGCTGCTGGTTTGTTTAATCATCAAATCACTCAGCTGTTCTGACGAGTGGCCCGTTCCAGGAGAGGAGCATGATGAAAAGGTTGCATAGGGACGCAGTAAAAGAAAGTGCAACTCCTTCCCTCTTTAAACTCTCCTCGTGTCCTTCCTGTCCCTGCAGCTGTTCGTCATCGACAACGGAGCCGACGACTGGCGCATCGCCATGACGATGGAGAGGGTTCTGCTGATCTCTCTGGAGCTGCTGGTGTCCGCGGTGCATCCCGTGCCAGGAGACTTCAAGTTTCAGTGGCGGGCGCGGCTGGCCTTCTCGTACGCGCCGTCGCAGGCCGAGGCCGACCTGGACATGGTGCTGAGCGTGCCCATGTTCCTGCGCCTCTACCTCATCGCCAGAGTCATGCTCCTGCACAGCAAACTCTTCACCGACGCCTCCTCCAGGAGTATAGGCGCCCTAAATAAGGTGAGAAGGGTTTTGTGTGTGTGTATCTGCAGTACACATTGAAAGAGTGTCTGTCAAAGCTCTGACCAGAGAGAAGTAAAGGTATTAAGGTCAAGAGCGTTCTGCTCAGAATTAAATCTGTGACCGCCTTGTCCCTTTCATTCTTGGCCTCTAACTCTTTAACTCTCTCAAGTCCCTTCTGCCGCTTTGTCCTCCTAGTTACACGGTTTCTATTCATCTACCACTTCTAATGCCCTTCCTCGTCTTTGTCATTGTCGCACACGGAGACTTAGATGTAAGCTTTGGTGGATCTTTCATAATACAATATGAGACAGGGCAGGAGCGTGAAATGAGAACAAGACACTGCGTATGCCTCAAATGGGGCATGAAAGAAAAGGAGTAGAGTTAGATTGCAATACGAGCGCGGAAAAATATGTACAAGCATTGAAATAAATGGTAGGTGCCATGTTTGTAATGACTATAAACGACAAGCGTTATTGTAAAATCAGGAAGTAGGGATGTAGCGTGTGGTGGAAGTATGCAAACTACAGTACACAGAGGAGGAGGATAGGAGATGGAGTAGATTTTATATTGGTAATTTAGCGTTATGAGAGCGTATCTGCGATGGCACTGTTCTGCCCCTTCAGGCTGTAGTGACAGGGAGTGGAGGTGAAGCTGCAGCTCTAATATGACAACTCATTTATCAGCTGCTTAACCCTTCATGGTCTCACCCATTGCTCTCAGATCATCCATCTGCCAGTAGCTGATAACAAATGAGCCACGGATAAAAACTACACTGAAATAGGCCAATTACTCAAAGGCACTATATAGCTTGACCGAGTCAGAGGGCGTGTCCTGATGATCTTGACTCCAATTACAGTGAAGATTCTCAGACTACCGCCGCTATCAAACGCTACTCAGAAAACTCATTAGTAAAACATCAAGTCTGTGTGAAATACACATGGAAAACGTGTGTATTACAATGCCATTCATCGGCTCTGCTATACTGAACGTTTGAACTTGTGTGTGTCTTGCAGGTGCATTTTAATACACGGTTTGTAATGAAAACCCTCATGACTATCTGCCCCGGGACGGTGCTGCTGGTCTTCAGCATCTCTCTGTGGATCATCGCTGCCTGGACCGTGCGAGTGTGTGAGAGGTCAGTCGCTAAGCTGCTCCGTTTGGGTGTGTTGTGTTTTAAATCATGCATTAGAGTGACAGACTGTGATTGGACTATGGATTCAACTGAGCAATACAATTCATTTGGCAGGAAATGTGATCTGGGACATGTGTGCAACATAATCCATCTTTAGACTTCAGTTTATGAGGCTTTCTCACCAGTTGTACAATTCATTTGATCCAGGCGATAGAGTTGTTACTTCATTTGTCCATTTCCTCTCATAAATCCACAACATAATTGTCTGCTGTAAGACAACACTTTATTTTAAGCATTATCCAAATACGTAATTGTGTTACAGCAAACTCTAATGCCCATATAAGGACATTTATATTGGATCATTTGTCAACCATACCTTCCCCTATGACGCAGTGTAACAGGTATGAATGAATGATTGGTAACACAGTGGAAAACATGCTGTATGTTATATTAACATATATGAGCCGAATGTGAGCATGTTCTTACTGTTTATTCATGTGTACAATCATCCACAGGCCGGTTTAAAACTTTTTATGAATGTGATGCCACATGGGAAATAGCATTTTGAAAAAATATTCTATAATACAGTAGTTTACAATTTGGGGAAAAGAGCTAGATGTCAAGGGGATTACCATTACTCAGATCTATTTCTCGGCAAGAAAATCAAAAAGCTTATTTCCCAAAAGGTGCATTAACTTAATGTGCACTTACTACATTTCCCTCTCTGCTGCTGGCCTTGCCATCTAATTGGATGATGATTGCTAGGTTGTCAAGGAAAGTGAGAAAGTATTTAGTGATTACAAATTATTCGTTAACACATTAAATACGAATAAATATACATATGCATACCAAAACCTATATTTATATCATAATGACTGTTGTATTAATTATCAATCATTCATTCATCATTTATATTTAGTAATTGATTATTTACTGCTTATAAATGCAAAATAAAGGGTTGAACTGAAATATTGAAATCCCTGTAATAAGTTGCATTGTATTTTAGTCATTCTTCCCGTGATATCCTGAAAGTTGTTTCTATGTACATAGGTAGACGAATATATTTTACTTAAATACTTAGTATAAATTGATAAAGGGGCCCTATTATGCTTTTTGGGGGTTTCCTTTTCCTGTAGTGTGTTATAAACGAATTTGTGCATATTAATGGTCTGCACAGGCTGAAATCCAGAGGAAGTTTCTCTCCCACACAACCACCCCTCTACCTGAAACACCTCCATTGGACTCCATTGTTTACTTCCATCACATAGTGACATCACTACGTAACACTCTGCTTTTATTGGCTAGTCCTCCAACACATTGTATGTGATAGGGAGCGAGACATCTCTATGCGGTTGACCAATCACAACAGAGACGGCCAGCTGCCCAATCAGAGCAGACTGGGCTCTGGTTTCAGACAGAGGGTGAAAAGAGATGCTGCAGCACAGGCAGTATGAGAAAATAAATACCTTTCTGAACATTAAAGTATCTAAATATGTCAAAGTAGAGGCACTAAATAGACATTTGAACCTGAAAGTACGCGTAATAGGCCCCCTTTAACATAACCTAACATGTTCAAATAGAATATCTGACAGTGTCCTCTCACTCTTATTTCAAACCACTTTTGAATTGTAAATTAAATTGTCTGCTCATATTTAAAGATTGATAATCTGATTATGTGAATGATGTTATTGATATAACTTCAAGTGGAAAGCAAGTAGTGACCATCACTTTCAATGAGTTCAAACGCTTTTGGAGATAATCAAGGAAATATGGGAAAATGTCAGTTGGTTAATAAGCTTGATTAAATGAATCATTGCCCAGCTGCTGGGAAGCTATCATTCAAGTTTAATTGGCATTTCCTCTCTTATCCAAATAAAATTATCGAAAGATAAAACATACAGAACTCAATTAAACTACTTCAAACAGGGTGAAATCTGAGAGTTTGGAGTGTGTCACAAGGTTAGAATAGAGAAAATCTAGCTTAGAGCAAATGTTTATCTTGTCAACAATCAGGACTACAATTAACAGGTCGTTTTTGTTGAATGGGTTTTGAGAAAACAACTTTGTTTCCGATGCGCACCAGGTTTAGTCGCTATGGCAACAGTGTTGTGCACAGGGCAGGAAGGATGGCGGAAAGAGATGCTGTTTATGTGTTTTTAGGTCACGTGTTTGAGGTTTGACGCCCACGTTAGCAGACAGGACCAGTGGGCCAGTCGTGTTGTTTGTTTATGTATTTATATTTCACTATTGACTGACTTTATTCTCTGAACACGGACGGTGATTCTTTTTAGGTACCATGACGCTCAGGATGTGACCAGTAACTTCCTGGGAGCCATGTGGCTTATCTCCATCACCTTCTTGTCCATCGGCTATGGAGATATGGTTCCTCACACTTACTGTGGCAAAGGAGTCTGTCTCCTCACAGGGATCATGGTGAGTACATTTCCTCCCTCCCTCCCTTCCTCCCTCTTGCTCTCCCTCCCTGAGGCGCTGTCCTTGCGTCGTTCAAAGGTCAGCAGATTAGAGAGCATGCTGTCATTTTCTAGAGAAATTCTGCCATTTGTGTAATTTGGGCAATCGTCTTTGAATTAGCCTGCATCTGTACTCGTGTGTGAGCGCTTGGGTGTGTAGGCACGCAAACAAGAGCCTGTTATGTGCGTGTGTGTGTGTGTGTGTGTGTGTGTGTGTGTGTGTGTGTGTGTGTGTGTGTGTGTGTGTGTGTGTGTGTGTGTCTTCATGCTATTGCCTGTCCTCATTGCATAATGAAGGTCCCACCTTTCAGTGTGCCATGTCCTCCCACTCTCTCTCTCTCTCTCTCTCTCTCTCTCTCTCCCTCTCTGTATATCCCTCTCTCTCCCTCTTCCTCTCTGTCCGTCTCTCCTTCCCTGAGGCCATGTGTTTATTTCGATCTCATCCATCTGTTAGTATCAGTGTTCAAGCCGCCGACTACTCCCTCTATTTGCATCCCTCACAGGTGTTCTTCCCTCTTACCCTTTACTGTTTGTCTCTCCTGCTTTCTTTCTGTCTTTGTCTCCTTTCCTGTATATGTTTTAATTCAATGACCTTTTCTTCATTCTTCCTTGCAACCTTTCGTGTAAGCAAATACCAAGTTTTTAAATTGGTCAACTAATTTAATAATTTGAACATAGCCTCATATTTCTACGTGCTCTCATGTTAAAACAACCTGCTCTGGATGCTTTGGAAATGATTGTCATTTCAATGAAAGAAAGCTAGATTTCTTTTTAATAGCTCCACAGCTAAATGTCAAGTAAAGTCTCATTTAATGTGCTTGTAATTACGGCGGCTTTGGCTAATTCTTAATAAGGTCAGGAAAGGAAAAAGAAAGAGCTAAAAAATGATGATGATAATATGTTACCTGGGATTCTTCCTCTCATAGGACACGGTGTGCCACATGTTTTATATTGCCAGTGGGGAGAGTACCGTGAGTAGTAGAAGACTGCGCAGCTAAAAAGATGAAATTCACTTCAGAGTGTGTGTCTGAGTTAGAGATAACGCCGTTTTTTAAAATTAATTATGTAATTGTATAACTAATGTAACTTCTTTACTGGAGCATCCTTATGTGCCACGAAATCGCATACCTAAAAAAGAAGGTGAGAAAGACCTGGATGATACATTTGAAATGTATTTTTTCATTTACTAGATAATACCACGGAGGTCACTATTGTCCTTCTTTTTTTTTTAAACTGAGGAAATCATTGCATATAAGCTTTAACAATGCCAGCAGCAGATATGAGCATGTGGAGGCAATGTGCTCACACAGAAGAAGAACACTACCGTACTTAACATTTTAATAAGCACAGTTCTGCCATTAGTCAAGTTACATTAGATGTGATAATGTGACCACTATCACAGTGATGATAAGAAACACGCAGAAGAGTCTGAATTTCGTTTTTTTTGTTATTGAAATAACAATATAAGCTGGTGAAACAGCATTTCTACATCAGCACATGCCTATTCTTAATGCACTTGTGCTGAGTGTATGATGTTATTCGTACCTGAAGTCAAGCAGCAACCAACATGCCTTAATATTGAAGATGTTGTATAAGAACCTTTCAAATCTGTTCATAGACTGCTGGATGAGGGTTGAAGAAAAATCAACAGAGCAATTAAAAAGGCCCTCGGCATAACTCTCAAATTAAAAAGTAAATCAATATTTTCCACTGCAAAAAAGCAACCTCACTTATTGTAAATATTAGTGCCGTTTGGAGATGATTTCACGATAAGTAACAATAATATGCAGCGCTGGCTAGAACACATAGATCACATTATTTTAGTGTCCATATTTCTCTCTATCTTTTTATAACATCCCCACAAAAACTCAATGTGTTTCTCCAACTCCAGCTCCCCTACTTCCTATAATGTGAAGCCCATTAAATGTGCAAATAAACACTCACACTCACACAAACAGACCCCCTTATTTGAAGGGTGAATCATCCAGTTTTAGAGTACAACTCTTTAATGTGAACACACACTCACAAAGACAAAACAGGGGGTGGATGTAGAACGTCCCGAGCCCACTGTTACAGACTGCATCCCCCACACAACTCTGACATAGAGCTTGACATTCACTTTTAGTGTAACTCCCACACACACTCTACTCTCCTGTCACACAAACACACTCTCGTTGCACTCTTCAGAGAGGCTTATTCTCGTTGATCACCAGAGGAGTAGTGAGGATGCAGGTAGAGGCTGAGGTTTGTGAGGAGACGTTTTTTAAAGTGGGTAAAAGGTTGAGGCCAGGGAACAGGATTTGATTTGTCTCTTTATAATAATAATTATTATTGTAATGAGTTTCTTTATAGGAAATTCTTGCCGTAGTTACTATGACAACACATGAAGGAATATACCATCGCCAGAGGCTATCTGTGGGGGTGCCAGGTGTGTGTGTGTGTGTGTGTGTGTGTGTGTGTGTGTGTGTGTGTGTGTGTGTGTGTGTGTGTGTGTGTGTGTGTGTGTGTGTGTGTGTGTGTGTGTGTGTGTGTGTGTGTGTGTGTGTGTGTGTGTGTGTGTGGTAGGGTGGACATGCTGATGTTCTATACGGCAAAGGGTGTTTGTTGTTTTAATTACAACTCATATTGTATGTTACAGTTCATGTGTGTTTTTTCCCACACCTATGTTGTTATGACACACTTATTGTAGTTATATGCAAATATAACTGTTTAATGTATTCATATATTGCTCACCAACATCAAGCACTAATCTTCATTAGTGCTTGATGTTTAAACAGACATTTATATAGAAAACATTGTATTTTATAAAATATGTCTTCACATACAAAGCTTAGCTATAAATGTAAAATAAATTGTACCTTGAACTCTTAAAATGGTCTAATATCTGCATACTACAATATATTTATGAAACGTTTATATACTGGTTACAAAATGTGTCACTGTTTGCCATTGACTAAAGCCTCTTGATATAAGCCCTCTGTAGTTATTGAAGGGCCATCAGGTTGAAGAGAGTGTAGTTGCCATTTCAAACACATGTTTGCTTCTGCCTGTCTCTTTAGTGTTTATGCTATGCACTCTAATTAAGGAAAATGTATTGTGACTTTTGGTTTGTTTTCTCCTCCTTCCTCTCTGTGTTCCTGCTGACCTGTTTGAGAAACTTCTTTCAACTGCATCAGGTTTATAGGGATGCTGTTTTTTTTTTAGATGTTACACAGGAGCACAGATGGGTGATTCCTCCTTTTCTGACAGCGTAGATTGCTGCACTGTAGTTGAGGAAGCGAAGGAAACACCCGGGCGTATGAAACAAATCACAGCAGCCATCATCAGCCGTGTCACCCTGGAGATTGCACAGGGAACCCTGCTGAAATCAAATGGATGCAGGCATATACACAAACAAACTTACAAGCACACGCACACACACAGCCTGCCACAACAAACTAATCAGCACCCCGTTGTTTCTGACCGAGGAGGACAATTTCAAACGTACACTCGCACGCACAGTTGGATAAGTGCAGGCTGCCCAGCTCTTGTACATACTGTACTGTAGAAATCCATCCAGGGGTCTTTTCCCTGAAGCACCGGCATGTATGAATTTGCTCTAAGGGTTTTCCATCGGCGCTGTCATATTTTATTCATAGCTTTTGAATAAACACAAATAGAGCGGATGAGTGTATAGACGTGGGCACTAATGCCTGTTTGTGTGTTACATTTTACTGAACCCAGCCAAAGTTATTTATGGCGAACCTGTCTTATCATTCAAAAGTGTGCACGGTGAAGTCTTGGCTATTTCCGACACGCTTCAAAATGTTGTATGCCCCCTCGCCCTCGCTCTCTAACTCACTACGTTTCCCTTCTTATCTCTTTTACTTTCTCTGCACACACTCTCAAGCAGGGAGGAAGAGCACTCATACATTTTCATTAAACACTCTTAATCTTAATTCATTACTTATCAGGAGATATGTGACCCCATTAACATTGCCTTCTTCTCCGTCTTTCTCTCCTCTTATTCTCTGCACACACCCTCGCCTCTTGAACCGCACCCTCTCTCCAACCCCCTGGTTTGTCTTTCCTTCTCCACTTATATTTACTCGTGGCTCTTTTTGATCTTCACCTCCTTTTTTCCCTCTCTGATCCACCCCTTCAGAGGTACCTGTGAGCGCTCGACAGCCCCACTGAAAATAGTGTCTAATCTGAAAGTTAATTAAGTCTGTCTTCCTCCCCATGTTCCTGCTCCTCTTCTCCACCCAAGCATGTCTTTCTGGTTGAGGGACTGCTGTCACTCTCTCCCAGATGAATTTGCCATATGTCCCATGTGGATCGAGCTGGAATACTGACAAACCATTTGGTGTTTCATACTTTTTTACACTTCCTGCAGGCCTCGAGCCTCCAGTGACAGAAGACCGACACCATGTCAGATCGACAGCATCCAATTAAATGAAATTAGGTGGTGTCAATCCTTAATGTGTTTTTTTTATCTAAAAGTAAGATATTTCTTAGCTCCATATAGAGGCGATATAGAAGGGATCTCACACCAGATGGATTGGAAATGAAAATAGACTTGGCTCGCCGATCAACATGAGGAAATGTGGATCTTGAACAGAGCCATCCCTCTTAATCCTTGCCTTGCTCACATGCACTTCTCCTTCTGTCGCACGGCTCCCATTCTCATATTTGTCCTCGTTCCCTTCAATCAACTCGGCTAATTCCCCGGCCAAAAGCCACTGATTTACCAATTCCTCCTCTACTGACTGACTGAGTGCTCTCTTTTCTCCTCTCTCTCTCTCTCTCTCTCTCTCTCTCTCTCTCTCAGGGTGCGGGCTGTACAGCTCTGGTGGTTGCCGTGGTAGCCAGGAAGCTGGAGCTCACCAAGGCCGAGAAACACGTACACAACTTCATGATGGACACGCAACTCACCAAGAGGGTAGGCTTGTGTGGTGTGAATGAGAGCTATGATTGTCAAAGAAAGCACATGTTCTCTGCACACACCATGATCGGCACTCCAACAGCACTTTTGTTATTTTGTGAAATCGTCGTATGGCACACAGCCTACTATATTTTCAGATTTCTTCTGGGCTATAAGGAGGTTGAGAGCCCGGAGAAAAGGCTTGTTCTTCCCTCGCCCCTCTTCACCCTCCCAAACTGCTACACACCACTATCACTCTGTATTGGTGTGACAGATTGCCGTATCATTTGAGTGAGTGAAGGCAATAAGAGGTCAACTCTTTCTCGCTCTCTGCTCCCTCACTCTCTCCATCTTCCCATTTCCAATATTTTTTCTCCCACTTGGCTATCCTTCCAGTAAATCCCTTTCTCTCTTATTTTTCTTTCTCTGTCATCTTCTCTCATCCCTTTTTCTCGTGCCCTTTCCTTCCAATAGTCCTTGCCCCCTCCGTGCCTCCTGCCTTCCCTCCTCTGGTCCTTTTCAATTTTTCATACGGTTGAAGCCCAAGTTTTAAAAATAGCTCCCATATCAAATATGTAGGGTACATTATGGCAGCAGCGTATCTAGGATGTAGTTGACTGAACAGGGCCGATTTATCAATATTTTGAATAAGTGCAGGCAAAATATTTACAGAGAAGCTGAATGGGTTCTCTGTGGAGACTCCTCTCCCCTGAACGCCTGCAGCCCTCTGGGCAGGTCAACCAGAGTGTGCTTTCACAAGACGTTTAACACCTGGTTGTGGTTGTGTGGTTGTGTGTGTGTGTCTGTGTGTATTTGCATTTACTTACAGTGTGGAATGCAGCTGACCTCCTGATGAAACTGTTCCCAACTTTAACCCCCACTTTAAATTCCTTTTAAACAGCATTGATCTTTTAAGGTGGATAGTGTTATAAAATCGTTTATGTAAGTACAAATTGAGTTCTTTTTTTAATTCAATCAATGTTAGCAATTGTGGGTCAGTCCATCAACCACTTTGGTGGTGAACCGACAAAATATCTCATCAATTATTACTGGCCATGAGAGTGATGATATTCGATGTTCAGACAATTAGACCTATGACTTTGGAGATTCCTCGACATTTCTTCCACAATCATCAACTGGAAATATTTGGCCCCTCGTGTTTGGTTTGAATCTGCTCTTGTGCCATTGATACAAATGGAAACGTTATACCACTCATGGTGTTTTAGTTAGCCAGTAACCAGTACAACTGGTTGGTTGGAGTTGTGTTATTGTAGCTGGTTGGTGTGACTGTAAATATTGGCAAGATCAGCAGACTCTGATTTTATTTTTTTATTTCTATTATTATTATAGATCTTTGTTGAACAAAGACCATGCATAACAATACATTAAATAACATTTATACATAAGAACATATGTGAATATATCTATATCAAATATTTATTCATGTTATCAAATTAGCTACCCTGCAATCTTTTCCACATGCCCCGCTCAAATGTTGATTGCTCATGAAGTTTTTCATATTTAAAATGGAAAATAATGTCATGTATCTCTCTTTATGTGATTGCATTGATATGTATTGCATAAATATAGATCAAACTGATGGAGATCACCCCGTAGATGAAGACCATACATTTTAAAGTGTATGTCCTCCTCAATCAAGTAAAGTACTATATTTTAACAAAGCCAGTAATGATGTTGGGGAGGCGCCAAACAGCAGTTCTATTCAACACAATGCAGCATGCTGCTTGATGACATTTCCTTCAAAGGGTCTTTGGTTTATGTGGTGGTAATCGTCTTCTGCGCTCTATTACTGAGAGAGCAATGATTGAAGCTGTTGTATGCTCATTGATTTACATGGCTGGGGCCATTCTCTGCCATATCGTCGTAACAAGAGAATACAATCACTCATGGCTTCATAATGAATAATGCAAGGATTGACTTTACATCCTGCTGTCATCGTATGTACACACACACACACACACACACACACACACACACACACACACACACACACACACACACACACACACACACACACACACACACACACACACACACAAGCACACCCACTGTTTTGTACTTGGGTGAAATGGTGTTTCCTTCCCTTTGAAGGATTACCAAGAATGTCAATTAAATGTCAATCAGTGTAGCTTATTACCAGTGGCCCCCTGTTGATTGTAATATCTGTGTTTAATTGACAAGACTGAAATCTTGTGTGGTGCAGAAGACCTTACAGCCTTATCAAGGAAGATGATGTGCTTTGAAAACATTGATCAAAGTTCAATGCACAGGGTTCATTTTAATGCAGTGATCAATTATTACGATTAATTAATTTTTGTATTACATAACAGTAAACATTGCCGCCATGTCGACAATGTGAGTGAGGTTGTACGCACTCATGTTTTATGTCTTTACTTGTTGTCTTGATGCAGAGTGTTAAAGCGCCTTCACAGGCTTCCGCTCTGGTTGCAGCGGTGTGCAGTGGCTCCACGGTATTGGTTAATTCAGAGCACTGCTGAAAGTCCATCTGGTCAGAACATCGCTCTAACGTTCACCGAGCACTCTCAACACGGAGAAACAGGACACACTTACTGTAGGTGCTATGTCAGTTAAGTGGTGTGTCCTTCTTTTTTTCAAGACACTTTTGAATGCCATCCATTGAAGCAATGGGCCGTGACCATGTAAATATGGCTGTTTCTGAGGTCACTATTTCTGTTTCAAGCTTCTTCTTTTTTGAAGTCTCGGACGGTTAAAGAAATTGTACTCATTTCTGTAAATTTGCGCTCGGAAAGTGTCTTCAGCCTTCACTCTGGACGATTGGTTAAATCAGAGCACTTTTAGAAGTGCCTGTGGCATATTCAGAGCTTCACCCTTTCTGAATATTCAGAGTGCACTTTGGGCTCCGGCCAAGAAGGAGGTGCTGCAGCGTCTTCCAATGTTTACACCACTAGCCAAATGGGAGCAATCTAACCCCCAAAGATTTCTACTAAGCTATCTTTCACTCCACTTAGTAAAAATAACTCCTCTTCCCACAGCCATACATATGCAAAGCCAGATGAATCATTATTAGTGTGGATGTATTGTGACGGCAACTAAAATAAATGTGACACTCAGTAAACGCATTTACACGTCCCTCTGATGTTCTTTAAACCAGATGAACATGAGCGTCCTCTAGCTTTAAATGCAGCCCTGTCTAGATCTGACCTCATTCAGGAGACAAAAATACACATATACTGTATATAACCAGTGGAGGAAGCTAATTGTTATTTCAATTTCACTGATTTGTTTGTGTTGTGTTTGTGTGTATTTGTGGAGCAAGTTTGAGCGTGAATCTTGCTCGGTAGAGGAAGGTCAAAGCAGATAGGGCCACGGGTCGCAGATGAGGTGGGAGGTTGTTTCCAAGGTAATTAGTTTGTTTGTTTGTTTTCTGCTCTCCTAGAGAACACCATTGAATCTCTAGCACCACAGCACCTAATTATGAATTACATACATACCGCAGGTCATCAAGGATCACCAGTGTTGAAGGGGTCAGGCGCCTCAGCTTTTCCCCTGATGTTTGTCGAGAGCTAGATAAATACTTGGGATTTTATGAGAGATCTTCAGAATTGGTTGGGCAGGAGCTGTGTCACTTTGTGTCTGTCTGCAGCAAATGCCGTTACTTCAAATAAATCTTCAGTGTCTGCCAATCAAGTTCCAGCTCCCCTGTCTTCCATCACAACAGCAAATGAATGGAAAAGAATCCAGGATGTTCTTTCCTTTTCAGTATAAGTAACAATGGAAGAGACCAGTTTTAATTTCCATATATCTTTGTGGTATCTTCATTTTTGGGCCCATTTTTATTAGAGAAAGAAAAATGTGATTATTCTTATTTTCAGTATTTGTGTCTGTGATGACATATCCTAAAATATTTCTATTTGTACTGATTGATTTATGCTCCACAATATGTCATCGACCATCCAACATGCTGAGATGTGGGAACCCCTTGTTTCAACATATTTTTCAACATATTTTTCTTGTACCTGCCATAAGGTGTGCCACGTAGGGGGGCAACCACAACAGATCTTTGACCCAAAGCAGCCATATGGCGCCAACATGCAGGCCCAAGAACAAACCATATGCTCCGCATATAGCTGCTGCTGCCGTCGTTTGGTTTCTTGTGGAGTATTCTTAGCGGCTTACATGTTTCTGTAAATGGAGTGGCCTCAGTTTCTACTATTACTCCCAGGAGGAGGGAGAAAGAGAAGTAAAGAGGGCAGTGGGGAGAATTAACCATATAATCAAATCTGGGCAATATTATCAGTGCCTGTCATTTGCATGCAGAGCAGTCTGCAGGTTTTAAATGAAGGGTGAGGCTTTAGCATCATCTAATTAAATGGCCTGAAGCAGTGCAACAGCATGCTGGACAGGTGTTTGAAGTGTGTGTGAACACTTCCACAGCGGGCCGGCCGGAGCGATACACAATGTCATTATTCATCATATTTCACTCACTCTGCAATGATTAATGAGCTGATAAATAGGATTTGACATATCAATTTTCCTATTGACCTGTAGATATGAGGAGTGTTAAATGTGCTCTTCAGTAACCAACCACGCACAAGATAATTAAAGATAAGACAATCTTATTCAGCAAATATCCAGTTGTGATTTTGCATTTTATGTTAAAACACTATCTTAAAAAAATACAATGCTACCATAAAGAAATTAGAAGATGATGTTGATGTATATAGCCTTGGGCCCATTACCAAGATGATGCCTCTTCTGGATCTTTGCAGCTCTGTCAGGGTCTGTCGTTGCTACATGGATGGGAGCGCTGTAATCCTATTGATACACTGTGAGACGTGGCTCAGAGGGAGGAACATGGGATAGCCGGCTTTAAATCATACAACAGACCTAGATTTACATTCAAATCACATTGGTCATGGCCTGTGAACTGAACATACATTATCTTTAAATTAGTGGGGTTTATTAACATGAAAATTGCCAATCTTATATGTAAACAAGCCGTTATAAGTTGAGGATAGTGAGTGTTTTGACTGTCATCGAAAGTGATAGGTGACCCAATCTCCCAGAGTATGTTGGATTAGCCGGTTTCGGTTTGACTTCCTCCGTCATTGAAAACACATCTGCAAGACAGGGCCTCCTACTCTCTTCATCTGTGGCCAATAGTGTGTTTGTCTAGATGTGTTTATGTGTGGGCGTGCATGTGTGCGAGCAGTCCTTGACTGCGGTGGATAGGGGCTGATTAGCCAAGCTGCCGGGGTCTTTTGTGCTCCTCGGACGGGGGTATAATTGTTCTTTGTTCAGTGCTTGGCATCCCTTTGAAGTCTCTCATTCATGTTATGTCCTTACAGATTCCCTCTCTCTTCTCAATGGTATCCACCCGCGTAAAAAAAATGTATGTGTGTCAGAACCCCTGTGTTTTAATAACATAGCAATGTACAGAGATATTCAGAATGTGAACATTACAACAGATATGGATAAAAATGTATGTTACTGAATCCTTATTCTAGTCCAAATTGACCTGAAGCCTAAACTCTGACATTTTGAACAAGTCTTTTATTAAATCACATCAATCTTACATTAAGATGGTCCGTATAACCTTATAATAATCTTGTTATTATTTCTGATGGCTGTTAGGCTTGACCATGAGTGAGCATCATTACGTAGGCTATTTCTCTATTATGTCTCTACTGCAGGGATGGGGATTGCCTTTGACAGCTCGTTTAAGAGCAGCAACTCATTATGCCATTGTTTCTTTCAGTTGCTGTCATAATTAAATGGAAAATCACTGGTTTTAATGTGCATCGACACTGTAGTGCATTACTTCTAACCAGCTGAGATGATGCAGCCCATTTGAGTTAGTCTAACATATTATGTGGCGTATAGACAGACCGAGAGGGGAGAGAAGTGTGTGAGGGGGAGACTCCTGTTGGTTCTCATTGCCTAAACTCCCAAAGGAGAGAGCTGTTTATGCGTGCATGAAAAGCATTGGCAAGGAAGCCAGTGTGTAAACAGAGACACGGAGAGAAGGAGGGCAGACTCCAAGAAGAAAACATTTTTTAATATGTAATAATATTATTTAATATTTCACAGGCAGACAATGGAGAATACAGTGGGCCCTGTTCTCCTGTACAATAGCTACAAACCTGTTTGAAGGAGAAAGCTTTGGTTCCCAGGTTTGCTTAGCCACTGGGCAAACCTGTTGCCTGCTTCTGTTGCCAAGGGCAACCTGTTGCTAACAATGTGTGTGTCTGTATGTTTATTGTCTGCGAGCAGATAAAGAATGCAGCGGCCAACGTGCTGAGGGAAACTTGGCTCATCTACAAATCTACCAAGCTGATGAAGAAGATCGACCACTCCAGAGTCCGCAAACATCAGCGGAAGTTCCTCCAGGCCATACATCAGTAAGAGCACACCTTACATCCACCACACATCCACCACACACACACACACACACACACACACACACACACACACACACACACACACACACACACACACACACACACACACACACACACACACACACACACACACACACATCTGTGCTGCTGAGCTGATGACTCCTTTGAAATCATCTGTACTTTTTATCCACCTACAAGTTGAATGAATGAATCCCTTCACACACACACAAACACACACACACACACACAAACACACACACACACACACACACACACACACACACACACACACACACACACACACACACACACAATGAATCATCATCTACTAAAGGTCAGGTTCATTCTATGCAGGTATAGTTGTGGATAATCGATGCATTGTGTACGATTCGAAACCCTCTTATCGTCATATCGCTACTTAGAGATGTTGTTATAGAAACAAATTCATGCAGCAGAACTTAATTGTGCGTTGTAATTCTTCCTTAGTGTACATGTTTTTCTGAAAGGCCACAAGGGTAGTTGTTAGAGCCACAATGAAGTCAGGGTTATTATTTCGAGTCATAATTTGATAAATGATTTAATGATGGAAAATGATTTATATTGCCATGGTGAATATGTTTTGATGAAGTGATTGTTTAATTTTATATCGTAAATATGATCTGTTTCCGTGTACCTTCCGGTGTGTATTTAAGTGAGGTAATTGAGGACAGCCGGCGTGCTCGGAGACCTGATGAGACGGGGAGCGGAACAGTTTTTCGACCGCAAATTGCAGACAGAAATTAGTGTTGAAGATTGACTGCAAAAAAATTAAAACGCTCACGCAGTTAGTTTATATAGGAAAGCATACCGCCGAAATATTGTTTAAAGATTTGTTATTTTGAGACTATTTAAGTCAATACTTTTTTGTTAATAAATTACATCTTTTAGACTGAAAACCTTCGGCTGCTTATTGTTTTTGATTGCGTGTCGTCAACCCCGCTCTATAGTGGCAAGAGGAAACCCTTGATGCCATTACAGTAGTTGTCTTATTAAAGGTTGCTTTCCTCAAAGCTTTTTCTTTATCCTCTGTCTAGCATCACAAGTAGGCATCCCTTTGCTCTTTTGATCTGTTTTTGAACAGTTCAGCCTAGACCTGAGAACATATAACAAGTTCCTTCAAAAGCTAGAGTCAAAAGACTCTTTTAATTGTGACAAAAAAGTCCAATCCTGCTAACTCTAAATATGAATCTGATTCTGTGAACACAGTAACAAAGTGATTTAAGGAAAGAAGTTCATGTTGAGGTGCAGCCTCATAAAATCCCTCTGCACTTCATTATAATTGAGGAAGCCGGAGGGGATATTTTATGAAAACACAGATTAGACCCTCAGTTCGCTTATTATTTTATTGTGTTTTGAGAGTTGGCCAAGTGTTTTTTTCTGTTTGCTTCCTCTAGAGCTTAAAGGGACCGTTCACCACAAAAAAATGTCCCTCTTACCTGTAATGCTATTTATCAATTTAGTTTTGTAAAAAAATGTTGTTCCTTATTTATTTTGGGGGCTCTGAGCAACACTACTCAAATTGAAAATAGCAGGTAAGAGAAAGAATATGTTTTTTTTTATTTGTACTGTCTCTTTAATGTCTTTGTCTTATTCTAACATAACATGTATGCATACTTTCCCCTGCATTACAAAATGACAGTGTTTCAGAGCACACTGTGTTTGTACATTTGAATTCAGCGACACACTGCAGGTAGAAATGAGAATGAATTAGGCAAGGTGACCGCTTGTTGTCTGGACCCGGAGGGATTAGCTCTCTGGACCGACCACTGTGTACCTACTGGGTTTCAACCTTGTGTGTGTGTATTTAATATGTGTGTATCTGTTTGCAGATTACGCAGTGTGAAAATGGAGCAGAGGAAACTCAGTGATCAGGCCAACACACTAGTGGACCTCTCAAAGGTGAGTCGCACACACACACACACACACACACACATGTCTGTGGACATCCACTTCACAGACACATAACAATTGAACGAGGGCTAGTAACCTATACCAAACATACACCTGCCTCCCCCCAAATAAACAATATTTGGATACATTCCTCCGTTTCGGTGATGACCTGCTCATTTCCATGGCTTTGCGTCTCTTAGCAACCGGAACAAGTGTTAAAACAGGGATGACTGAGTGAGAGAGCGAGTAGGAAATGAGAAAAGGGAGGGGTGTGTGTGTGTGTGTGTGTGTGTGTGTGTGTGTGTGTGTGTGTGTGTGTGTGTGTGTGTGTGTGTGTGTGTGTGTGTGTGTGTGTGTGTGTGTGTGTGTGTGTGTGTGTGTGTTCCTAAGTAATAATGCCTTTAGCACAAAATATCTTTGGCCAATTGTGCATTTACCATGGTTACGGAGGCCATGATGTGCAAGGCAGGGACACTCTGTCGCCATGCTTTCATTCCCTGTTTCCTTTCTTACTTCACAATGTTAGAAGGTTCAAGGTTCTTTATTTGTCATACGAACATAGCTACAGAGTAGCTATGTCGATGGAAATCTTAGGTCACAGGCTTCTCCAACAGTGCAACACAATAATACAGAAAAACAGAAAAATATAGTGCAAGTAAAAAGTACGCCCACATGGAGACTTTCCTCGAGCCTCTCCTTCAGCCCAGCTTCTACTCCCTCTTGGAAATGTTTTACTCAATCCTCCCGAGGCTCAGGCTTGTCCTCTTTTCTAAACCCCTTTTGCTGTCTCTTCTCATTCGGTCCAAATTGTTTTCTTTAAACAAGCTTTAATAAAACAGCCCTCGTAATACCCCTGTTTGCATATTAGAAATCTGTCTTCAAAGTACTCTGTGCTCACTGAGTCGCCTCTGCTCTCCTCTCACAGATGCAGAGCGTCATGTATGAGCTCATGTCGGAGCTTAACGACCGCAGTGAGGACTTGGAGCGCCAGATGCTGTCCCTGGAGTCGCGGGTGGAGCAGCTCACCGCCGGCTTCAACACCCTGCCGGCCCACCTCTCGGCCACCCTCAGCGCTCAGCATGCCGCCCTGGTGCATTTGCTTCGAGAGAGGGATTCGAGGGACTGGAGAGGCGGAGGTGGTGGAGCAGGTGCTGTTGTCCCGCTGTCCCCAGCTGTGTCTGTAACTGCTGCTCCACCTTCACCAGTACGGGTTTCGCCTCCAGCACCGCCCCCATACCAAGTCCCCACTTTGGCCTTGGAGTCCCCTCTGACGCCCCCACCTCGCAGCCCCGAGGGGAGCCTGGAGGCGAGTCCCAACACCAGCACCTGCACTTCTAGCTGCTGAGACAGCTCTGAGGAGCAGGAGAGGACTTACCTGGAGAGAAAACTGGGAGAGAGTAGGAGGGAGGCTGTGCTAGTCCGCTTACTTCAGATTAAAAGGAGAGGAACATGGAGGGAGGAGGAGAGAAATTGGAGGTGATCCTCTGAAACCAACGCTCCATGAGGGAGGGAAGAAGACAGAACTATGAGAAGAAATAATGGGATTAAGATGGAGAGTCAGGATGAATGATGAGACATCTTAGGGACTTTGGGGCACTTTCCTTGAAGGAGGAAGGAGAAGAAAAATGGAGATAAAATGGAGACGCTAAAAGGTGTGAGGGGGAGGAAAGATGTCAAGAGGGTGAGAAATGGAGGAAGAGAGGATGTGGAAGGGGAAGGAGAGGGGAGGAGAAATAAGAAGAATTATATGAATCCACTCCAATTACTGAAAAGGGCCTTTATTCTCTCTCTATCTCGGTCTTTTTCTCTCTCTCTCTTTCCTCCCCCCCTCCCAATATCTCTCCCTTCATCAGGAATTAATGACCATGACTTTTTATCCTTATGATGTATTTTCTATCTGAATGCTAATTGTGTGTTAACGAGCATCCCTTTAACAGAAAGTTCGATCAATACGACCGTGATATTAAAAATAAAATAGTGGCATGTACCGCACACACACACACACACACACACACACACACACACACACACACACACACACACACACACAGACACACACTTGTGCACAACTTATATCTGCGCATTATCCAAAGGAAACATGTGAACACAGCACAAACATAAAAACAATCTTTAACAAAGCTGGCCCTTTATACTATTGCACAAAGAAATGTTGTGCTGTTGCCAACAGGATGATATTAAAGCCTATACTGCCAAACACTCAACGCACTGTCAATCTCCACAGAGCACTGCCAAGCAATGTAGACACACTGTAAAAAATGTTCATCCAAATGACTTGTCTTGAGTGGGTGTGTGAGCTAATGCAGTAGTTTAGACTTACATTGCATAGTTGTGACATTTTAACTACTCAGATGGGAGAATCATAAACATTCACTGAACCACACAAATCACAGATGAGGTTGAAATAAGTAGGTATGACACTAAGGGTTATGAGTCACCATAACGTCTGCTTGTGACAAGAAGACATTCACAGATCATAAAATAACCGAACACGACTACAGCAGGACTTTATTACTGCATTTATTGAATTACACATTAAGCTGAACTGATTTTACATGTGCTTGTAGGTTTGTTGTTCTTAACTAACACTTTTAAGGGTTTGTTTCGTTTTATATCTGTGAACATTTCTTATGAGCTCCAGAAAATTGATAATTTATAGTTGAATTAAGTGCATTAATATAGGGATGTTTTTTGGAGGAAAAAGTAGATTGCAACAAAAACATTTATTAAACTGTCTTTTCAATCTGATTCATTAGTTTTGAAGAAAAAATAACTATACAAAACCGAGCTTTGCACAAACATAATGCTGTTTTTTGTCTGATGTCAGTGGGGTCAGATTGACTGAGATGCTGTATTTATTGTTTTTCTTTCATTCTTTAGATATATTTATGCTTAGAATGACTAATCTTTTGATTTTTACATTAGAGATTTAATTAAAAATCCAACAATTGTTAAGCTGTGTGATTAGAAGTTGATGTGATAAATATTTTTCACAGTGTACGGTTGTGTGTAACACCCTTCATGAAGGGAAGAAGAAGAAATGTCTTACTACCATTCTTTCTTTAGGCTCGCAGTCCCAAAACGACACACTGTTATCATGAGTGTATTCTATGTAAAGAAATACACTCAAAATACTCTCGTTTGCTCGATCACTTAAACTGCCGTGCAGACACAGGAACAGACACCAACACGCACGCACACACAGATATACACACACCTCAACAACCAAAGTGCTCTCTCTTAAATGGACTTCAATAAGAGGCAGGGAACGCTGCTGTCACTGGGGACAAAAGATAGCAGGAGGCGTTGCAGATATCTAGACAATATTTCTGAGGGAATAACTGTGAAAATCTGGGCATGGACTTGTTAAAGTGCTGTACATGGACTGCTCTTCACTGCTTTAAAACAGATCAAGGTGGACTATGGATGAACACAAGGGAACACAAATAAACCTTACAAAGGATAAATGGCCATGAAGGAACAGCTGTATGAAATTTAAAAAACATAAAAAGAAAGACTTAGGTTTATATGACAAGAATTATTATGGTGTGAAGGGAAAAGAGACAAGCCTACTCTTCATTGGAAACAATATCAAACTGTCTTATGGCGACATGCTGTGGCCGGAATACTGAATTACATACGCTTGGAATATTGTATAGTATGCTGTTAACGAAATCTAGCTTTGTATTGCTTAGTCCTTTTCTACCATTATGATTACACGCAGTTATAGCTGATATATAATATTACTAAACTATAGTATTCTTCTCATTCGTAATGACAATTCTGATATGTACAACAATACGTTAAATAATTATGAACAAGGAAAGTGCCCTTTAAGGTTGAAATTATTTTGTAATTTTTATTTTATCAGAGAGAATTAATAAAGTATATATCTATAACATTACAGCTTCCATGTTTTCTGTGTCGCTGTTTTCTGTTTGTTCTTCCTTTTTTTATTTTGGATTCTACGGGACTCAGTGATTATTTAGAAAAATAAAGCAACCCATCTTCACATCTAAAACAAAGGACGACCCGCAACAAATTCATTTTAAAGTTGCTACAGGCTATTTGACTTATTTTGTAAAACAAACATATTCTTATAGCCTACTTCACTGAAACGTTGTTTTGACCAACACATTTCTGAAGTGTGCTAATTCTGTTTTAGATACTCGTCCTCTCGCGATATTCGGAGATAACCCCACGGAAAGTTAGCTTATATCCAAGTAGGTTGTGTTTTTTTAATAAGATTTGAATAAGTTACGTTTTATTTTGTAAACTGTTTTACCGTCACACCAGTGACGGCTGGTGGTAAAAATGTTGGATGGGGCGCAAAAAAAAAGCGATCTACAACACCACTGTAATGTCGAAGGAAATTGATTGTGATTCATGGACACTAGCCCCGGTTATAAGCTCGTCCTCGATCACTTGCCTGCTGATACATTTTTTAATCGGGTCGGTCCGGTCCAAGCTCCTTTATTCTCTTTTTTTCTTCCAGTGGACGCCTTGTGAAAGGGTGTTTTTGTAAAGAAAAAACAGAATTTTCTGCGGCCGCACTTGAATTTGCCATGATAATATCATCCAGAAACCTAATGGTGAGTGTGAACATAAAAGACAGCGTCATGGCCCAATCACATCAGGTCAAAGATCATGAGAACAATACAGATTTGCTGCCTGTGGGAGGGTCTGGGGGGCGCAGAGAGCTGCGCCCCGTGGGAAAATCTGAAGCCGCCAATTAGCGAGCAGCTTTTGGTCACCTGCTTACCAACAGTTTGACGACTTCCATTCGCTCTCATTTGGCCAGCGTCCCTCAACCAGGAAGTATGTATTCACACAAAAATACCCGAAATGCAAAAAACATTAATGGTAAAGTCTGATACTACATGAAGTAGCATTTTGTAAATGTGAGCAGGTGTTTGAGTGCTTTACTCTTTGTTTTCAAAGTAGATTCCTTGATTTAGTGTGTCAGTAATACTCACATGTTGCCTACCTGTGCAACAATAGGATTAAAAAGCCATATTGTGCTACATTTAATACAATGGCTGAATTTGCTAAACCTACAGTCTATGGGCTAGACGGAAGTGATCTTAATGAAATCCTTGCTTAAGTTATTATGCCAGACATGTCTGTGGTAACAACCTTTTAGGTCCCTAATTTAGTCATAGCCTACTGCAAAATGTTCCTATTTTCCTTTTTTTCTGCAAATTAAATCAATTTAATTGTTTCTTACCAGAAAATTATGCATTTATAGAGCATAAGATTGTTTGATTTAGGATCTTGAAACAAACATCACTATTGTAAAGACATCGCTGTTCAGAATATTCCCAAATAATCTACACAAATTCTTTAATATTTGTTATATCACATGTTTGTATACCTGCTCACTGGCCATACCTCATGATGTAAAATAAATAAATTACATCCAATATATTGAACAGCTTGTTATCTGTTTTACCTTCCTTTTTTCTTGCTGATAGTTGAGTCAATGCTATTTGTTTTTAATCACCTTCTCATTAGTCTTCACACTAGCGTTTGTCCCAAAGGTGATCATGTAATAATCTTAGAGCTTATGTGTAAATCCGTTCACATAAGCATGAAGGCAGTCACAGTATTGATAGCATCACGGCTTGAACAGGAGGAATTGATTATCATTTTTTTCATAAAACAGGGATCATGAACCCAGCCCATTGTTTGTATAGCCCCGGGTGAAAATAAAGCAGAGTTACAGAGGTGTGAAAGCCAGGCAGCCAGAGGCAGTGTTCTGCCCAGGGCACAGCAGATGTGATGAGCTTGTTATATGTCTTATTTACTGGCTGGTGCGAAGTGCTCCCGGGGCGTTCATCACCTCTCCCGTGCATTTTCATGATTGTGCTCTGTAATTTTCAAGGCCCGAGGTAGTCTTTTTTACTACTTTGCTCTGCATCTCTCTTTATATCTCCACATGTCTCTCAGTCCACTCTTATTTTCTCAGGAATCCCATTTAGTATTTCAGGATTGCTGTTTGATCAAAGGATAGCTCATGACCCAAAGAAAATAGAAATTTCGCATAGCTTTTTATTCATAATCCAGTCCAATTTAACCAAAAGAATATGACTGCAAGAACATTTTGTTACACAACAGCAAGCAAAGGCAAGAAATGGACAAAAAGAAAAGTCAAAACAAGACATTTTAATAAATGCAAATTAGATGCATTGTTAGAATAAACAGACAATATATTTGCAGGTTCTATTGAGTCCTTTATCATACTGAATGACCCGTAACATTAAAGGCGACCATTTTTCAAAGGACCTCGTTTTTTGGAAATGAGTAAGAGGTGGTTTGTCCATGTCTATTTGGAGGAAATGCATCGCTTGCATGCACAAAGCCTTCAACCAGACAGAGCTTTTTTTTCCTCATCATTTTCTCCAGACCTGGTTGAATCTGCTAAAATGCATGCCGCTTTGTCTGTTCAGTCGAGTGATGCTGCGTTTTTGGCAAAGAAATTAACCCCATACCTGTATTTGTGAAAATGTGTTTTCTTCTGAATGCATCTGGGCATATAGCTTTTTCAGTGGAAGAGGAGGCTGGCAGGTGGACGCTGGAAGTCAGCCACCATTGTTATGACTACACTGTCCACGATCATGTGTTACGGATTGTGAAGGAAGCAGGACCCACATGCAGATGTAAACTGAAAAAACTCCTTTATTTCAAGGCTATGATATTAGCAAAGACAAAACAGAGCACTCACCGCATAAGACGAACCGACACACACACCAGTGAACATAATCAGACACACACCAATACTAATGGACCAGACACAGGGGCATGACATCAAAACAGCAAAACACCCAAACCTAGACATAGAACGTGATATAACTTAAACATAAAAAACTACCAACGTGACATGAGCCTAGGAGTGTGACAGAACCCCCCCCCTCAAGGGACGGATCCCAGACGTCCCAAAAAACAAAGTCCAGCAG